TCATCAGTCTCCATCTATATCTAGTCCTTTACAAAGTCCTGTTTTGTAATATCCTGAGAATTCCACCTGCGCATTCTCTCATCCTTATCCATACTCTCGAGGCTCTAGCTTGGGACTCTCATCATGGGTCACCTTGAACTGGTGTAATCACCTCCAGCCTCCTAACAGGTTGTTCTGCTTCTGGGCTTTCAACCCTCAAATCTATCTGTCTTGGGTTCACTCGTGATTAATTTACAATAATAAGCTAAATCTAATCAGGTCCATGCCCTGCTTATAACCTTTTAAAGTTCAAGCTACTTGATATAGCACCATAAGCTGTCCAGCTTATGCTTCTTGTCTCATTGCTTTGCAGAGTTTTTCATTTTTTCTACATTCTGTGTGTGTGTGTGTGTGTGTGTGTGTGTGTGTGTGTGTGTCTATATGTGTTTCACTAGTATCAGAGTTCTTTAGTGGCTAGTTTGAACAATACTATAGTTTCCATGCCTAGCACAGTGCCTGGCCTATATTAGTTCCTTACTAGAGTCTGAATTGAACTGGGTTTTTGCTATTTTGAATTTCTTTGTGTTTTTGATCTTAAACTTTCATATGTCTGTGTCTTGCCTCTTCAACTGTATAGTGTGTTCCTTGGGGGCGGGGTCATTAGGGTTATTTACAAATGCTCTTGTTCTCTTCCTCCTTTGTCATTGCAGAGAATTGTAGGATTTTCTTTCCCACACCTTTAAAATTAGGAATAGCCAAATGATTTGTTCTGGCCAATGACATGTGAACAGAAGTAGCATGTGTCATTTCGTGGAGAAAGCATTTAATTGCCTAGCACAGAATACTGCCACTATCTCCTCCTCTTGCTGTAGAGAAAGCATAAGAACAGACACTTTCTCAGTCCTTGACTGACTACGATGAGCAGAGGTTTCTGCTGACCTGTACATGAAATGCAGCGTGTGCAAGAAACAAGTATTACTAATCCAAGGAGAGGTGTGGTGTGCTTACTGTGGTCACCATAACCTAGCCTATCCCAACTGCTCCATTGCCTGAGGACAGAACCTGTATCAATTAACTTTGTGTCTCCATTGTGCCACATTTAAAACAGACTCTAGACATCTATTTAAATGTTGATTTCTGATTTTTTAATTCATGATGTCCAATTTCAAATATCCCTCTCCCATCAGTTTCTGTTCTCTCCCTACTAAAGGACAATTTCTACTCATTTTAGCTCAACTATGGTTTCTAAAACATAGAAATTTCTATTCAGTTCATAATCTGGTGCTGATCACTGGTGTAACATTTTGTAGAAAATGAAATGTCACCCCCCGAAGACTGACTAGATGATTCCTTCTGCTCAGCTGTAGTCAGTGTCCTCCAGGAAGGGTGAGAAGGAACGCTCGGAGCACATGCCCTGCAGCTGAGCAGCAAAGCAAAGGGTTGTAACAAATCAGCTTCCTAGGAGGCGCGTGGTGCAGTACAGGTCTCCCTGTAGCCTCCGTCCCAGCAGATGGCACGACAACATGGCAATGTCACAAAAATGCTTCTCCCATTTGCCTTTATAGACCTTAAAAAAACAAACAAACAAAAAATCCTTGACTTTTGAGCATGTAATTCTGTGAGCAGAAAAAATAAAATAACCCTCAATGATCCTTTTTAAACTGTGTTGTTAAACAAGGGAATATTTTTAAAGGGAAGGAGGGATTCCAAAACAGAGCCCCTTTCTTAAAAGAAATGCCTAACATATATTTATTCTCTCTGCAATCCTCATGGTAACTGGAACAGCATATTCTTTCTCCACATGTAAATTTTATTTTACCACACTCTGATATTATTTCATGCACATGAGCATGGAGCTAGTTTCTAGATGTGCTGCTCCACTGCGTTACTAATAAAAACAAAGAGCCCACAACCTTCTATTTTCTTCCCCTTGCCAATAGTTCTAAGACAGTTCATTCTACTTTCTCTGGCAGCCACACTTCCAAACATGTCCTCTCATAACAAGTCCAGCTAATTACAACCTATCTGCTTAATATCCTGAAATTTAAAATTAAGCTTGTAGGTACTGTTTTTATGATTACATGTTTTTAAAAATCAGAAATTTTTAGCCAGAGTTATAATAAAACTTTGAATTTTAACTTGCAATTTATCTTTATAAATGTCAAGGGTTTTACTTTTAAATAGGTCTACATTTACCATAACTACAATGCAATTTTGCTAAAGATACTTTCTGAAAGACAACCAAATCTCCAAATTAAATATGTAGGCTTAATTTTTTAAAAATCTAAAGAAAAAAACCAGTGTTTCTTTTGAACATATTTAGGGTCCACAGGAAATGTCTGTAGTGTGAAAACATACAAAAAAAAAATACAAAAAATATGAGTTCCGAGACCTATCCTGTGAATGGAATAAGATTTCCTGACATGTATTGTCTACAACTGTTAGCAGCAGTGAATGCGTATGGGTCTGCTGCAACCTCAACTCTTGCCTCCTCAGAAGAAATTCAACCAAGGGGCATAAAGCAGAGAGACGGAGACAAGTTTTAGAGCAGAAGTGAGAGTTTACTTAAAAGTTTTAGAGCAGGAATGAAAGGAAGTAAAGTATAATTAGAAGAAGGCCAAGTGGGCAACTTAAGGGATTGAGTGCATGGTTTGGCCTTTGACTTGGGGTTTTGTGTGTTGGCAGTCTTCTGGGGTCTGCATTACTTCCCTGGATGATTCCCTTGGGATGGGCTGTCTGCATGCACAGTGGCCAGCTAGCCCTTGGGAGGGGCGAAAGCCCAGTGTGTTTACTGGAGTTGTACATATACTTAATTGAGGCATTCTTCCCTTACCAGTCTAATGTTCCTGGAAGGTCATATCTCAGTTAACTTCTGTCATTTTGCCTCTTAATCCACATGCTTGAGCTCTCTTGCCCCAGTCCTGAGATCTTATCAGGTTTGATCACCAATTTCAGGTGTTTCTATCTATTGGGAGACTGCCGTTCCCTGGCACTGGCTGCAACCAATTATTATATTAAAGAGTCAGCTTAACAACTGACTGACTGGCCAGGCACAGTGGCTCACGCCTGTAATCCCAGCACTTTGGGAGGTTGAGGCAGGAGAATCTCCTGAACCCAGGCAGCAGAGGTTGCAGTGAGCCAAGGTCATGCCACTGCACTCCAGCCTGCACAACGGGGTGAGACTCTGTCTCAAAAAACAAACAAACGAATAAAAAAATCAACTAGCTGACCATCACTTGATGGTCACCTGACATTCTTGTTGGTGGGCCCTCTCCTGGCCTGCTCATGTCTGCGTATGTACTCTAATATAACTAAGCTCAGTAGTAGGGGAAATTCATTGTTTTGTTAAAATAGGTCACTGGGTAGAGGTTGTTGCTTTGCACATTCTAAGATCTATCAACATAATACCAAGAAGAAACCACAAAGGAAAAAGTGGTAAATCCAAATACAAAGGTGTTTAAAACTTTAATATTTTATTACAAATCTGTATGGTCTAAAGTTTCTATAACAAAACCCTGGCTTTGGAAGCATTTGTTTCTTGTTTTTATTTTCTGCAAAAAGAGAGGGACGTTAAAATAAGCATAGAAATGGTAGAACTTTGGGATTTCCTGTCCAGAGTTACCTATTAATCAGGTTTTATTCCAGCTGATTTAATGTGGCAGATTAAATGTGAGGAGTAACGTGGTAGGCTCCCTTAGGCACCAACTCCTGCTTAGTTCCTGGTTACCTCTGCCTACATAGATAATTGATCAAGCAAGATGTTTACATGCCCACACATATTATAGATAGTTTTGGTCATGAAATCACAATTTTCCATACCTGCACAATCTGTAAAAAAATGAAACTACACATCTGCACAAAATCTTTGTTTGGAAGTGCAAGGTAGGCCAAGGCAGTGGAAGAGAAATTGACACCAACTTTCCTGAGAGCTTCAAAGCAAGAAAGCATCTCTTGTTTCTACAGCAACTCCTGGTTGCATGCTGGAAAATGCAGCAAGTGAAGGACACCAAGCATAGACACAAAAATCAGAACATGACTGTAAGGTAGCCAGGCTGGCAGGTGTAGGGCCAAAATGGCTGCATGCCACCACAGTAAAATGCTTGCTACAGCCACACATTTACAATCAGTTTGGTGATGTTTCCAATCAGACTGGGAGATTTAGTTTCCCCCATGTAAGGCAATGACAAGGATTTCAAATGGACCCAACATCTTATATTTGTCAACAGCACTAACAGCTTCAGCTGGCAGACGAGAGGGAAACCAAGAATACCTGCATTATTTACTCCAGAGAAACTGCCTGAGCACCATCTGTTCTGTCACCCCCCACCCACCAATGTGGCCCTTTCCTAGCACACCCTTGCCTAGTTCAGTGAACCCCTTAGTCATGTATCTTGGCCCAAGAATTTCAAATCCCCATGTTTTCCCCAGTAAAGAGATTTGGAAAGTTAATTTCAACAGAGTGATTGGTAACACAGAAGATCTCTTAATGCCGTAAAGTATTACTAGTTGTCCAGCTGCAAAGACGATTTGTTGTATTTACCTTTATTCTAGGATTGAATGCAACGCTTTCACTGTACAATGTAGTGGCTGGGGGATGGTGAGGCAGAGGGGACAGAGGGATTAAGCTAGATTACACAGCATAGAAAATCACTACTCTTACACTATAGGGTCTGTAAACTGGTTCAAGGTCACAGAAGTGAGTGAGAAAGCCACCTGAATTAGCAATAAGAAATAGCTTACACAGAGCAAAGACAAGACTAGTTTCTGAAACACCTGCAAACCACATATGATGTCTATATTTGTGTCTAGTTGATTTGTACTCAAAATTGGCCTTTCTGGAGATAAAATGTCCCCTTCTGAAAATCAGGGTGCACTGTTAGTAAGTCAAGACCAAAACAAGAGCCGACAGTAATGACAGTACTATATTTGATCTATATGACCTGGAAAGGGGATATTAAAATGAGATCCTTCAAGAGAGAAAATCCCAATAATTTTCATTAAAAATAAAAATGATCCATTTATACAGAAGTAGTTCAAAATTTATTTATAATTTGTTTAAAAGAATATAAGACATCAATTTTTTGTGTGCATATTTATACCACAGATTAAGAAAGTATGGATTAAAATCTAAAAAGACCTCCCAAAGCTTTCCAAAACCTGATCTGAGGATTCAGTAAGAATTTGTCACTTAGAGAGACTAGCCTGTAGCACCCACAACTCTGATGAACCTGAAAGCATCAAGTGACCCCCTCATTTTTTACTTTACCAACATTACTCTAATTATACTTCCAATTAAAAAAATAATGTAGCATTTCACTGGCAGTAGAAATTAAATGAGTTCAGTAATCAGCTTCTGCAAACATGCACAAATGAGGACAGGGAGAAACCAGTCATTCCTGAAAGATCAGTCAAGTGGGTGGGCAGTTGGAATCAAGGCAAAAACAGTAAGACTGAACAAAATCTCATTCAAAAGTATTTCATGAGACTTTTCAAGGTCAGCTGACAAAAGCCAGATGAGAGTCCATATTTTCTCATATACCCTGCAAGAAAAAGAAACAAAAAAAATTACCGCAAGCAGCAAAGTAAAATTCAAAGCCTTTGTAGTCAAAAACGAAATTCCTGCAAAGAACACTTTGACTGCATCAAACTGCAATGATCATTTTTTAAATTAACAACTTAAATGACCATTGAAACCGTTTTGTTTTCAAGTCACATTGCATTTGATTCACAAAATACTCTTGGTCAATAATGTAATGGCTTGTCCAGTGATATCTTATTGACTGTGTTCTTAGAGATAGACTAACATAGGTTACAAATAATACAGTTCGAAAATGTTGTCACCCACCTCCATAGTTACAGCAAGGACAGTATGAACACATGAGGAACAGAGCAATTTAAATGGAAAGTCTCAACTAGGGTTGCGCTGTATTATGCAGTAGAAAGGTGACTTCTAAGAGTACCTTGAGGTGGAGAGATAGACTAATGAGTCCCCACTCCCACCATGTGCAAAGGGTCAAGAAACCTCTATCAAGCCTTCTGCAGTGCTAGGCCATTATACGTCTGGAATGCACACTACTGCTGTTTCTTCTAACATTCGGGGAAATTAAAATCTCAGATTGCCTCATTGGTCATAGGAAATGCTTAACTGTCCTTGAAGATGTAGGATTTAGAGTTTCCACAGCATCCCAAAGAGCTTCTTCTATGAGGAAATGTCATTTAAAGTGATTTTATAAGTGCCTTACCTTAGGTGCCTCAAAAAAACTAATAGAGGATGCTGGAAAAATCAAAATGTATTTTTTAACATACAAAAGCAATTATAAATTGTTGAAGAATAAATGTGTATGTTAAGCAATATGAGAAGACTGGTTTAAATTAGCAATGATTAAAAAGTAAAAATCAATCAACCTCACGTATATACTTATTGGGGGCCTCCTGCTCAAGTGTCTAGATGACATTTCAAGAAACCACTGTTTCTTTGCATGGCTTGGTTTTATCATATTTTCTGCCTTCCTCCTTTTTTTTTTTTTTTTTGTCTCTGGCTTTTTACAGGTTCCAATATTTCCTCCAAGCCTCTGTGAACTGAGGCATTGCTTTCCTCTTTCATTCCTTGGAGAAGCTCAGTCTTCGTCTGTCAGTCTTTAAATAGTGACGTGTCCTTGATTTAATATAATAATGATTTTAATGTATTAATATAATTTAGTTGCTAATTCAGTGTATTAACTTATCCACTTGTTACTTGCAAAACATGTCCTAAATAAAATTTATGTCCTAAATAAATCTTCCACAGTGCTGGCCCACACTACATCTGGAATACACACTATTGCTGTTTCTTCTAACACTTTGGGAAATTTAAATTTTAGGTTGTCTCATTGGTCTTAGGAAATGATTAACTGCCCTTGAAGACGCAGGATTTAGAGTTTCCACAGCATCTCAAAGAGCCTCACCTACTCCATCAGAGGAAATACTATTTAAAAGTTTTATTTATGGCCTCTCTTCTTACTTTTGTATGATATTCTTTGATGAACAGACATTTTAAAATTTAATGTAGATTTAGTTACTTTTTGTTTGTTTGTTTGTTTATACCTTGGGTCTTACAAAATCCTTTCTCAGCTCCATTTTATAAACAGCCTCTCTCATTTTCTAAAATTTAAAAAGTCATCCTATTTATAAGCTTTAATCCACTTAGAATGTTTTTTTTAGAATTGTATTGGGACCTAATTTCATGTAAGTACTCAATTGTCCCAACAGCATTTTTTGAAGAGTCGGTTTTCCCCCAGTGATGTGCTCTGCCCCTTCTGTCATACAAAAAAGTAAAAAATTCTGAAATGTTGGGTGTGCTGGTGCCAATTGCATACCTCATTAAATACATAAGTAAGTCCCCATATATACTTCTTTATCTTTAGGAGTGAACTGCTTACTCTTGGTTCTTTGCTTTGATTACAATTTATGTGAATCTATAGCTTATTTGAGAGCTCATTCCTATCCATTAACAAAGTATAACTCTATTTGACAGCATTTTTTTTTTTTGAGATGGAGTCTTGCTATGTCACCCAGACTGGAGTGCAGTGATGCTATCTTGGCTCACTGCAACCCTCTGCCTCCTGGGTTCAAGCGATTCTCCTGCCTCAGCCTCCCAAGTAGCTGGGATTACAGGCACTCACCACCATGCCCGGCTAATTTTTGTTTTTTTTTAGTAGAGACAGGTTTTCACCATGTTGGCCAGGCTGGTCTCAAACTCCTGACTTCAGGTGATCCTCCCGCCTCAGCCTCCCAAAGTGCTGGGAGTACAGGCGTGAGCCATTGCATGCAGCCTTCACAGCATCTTTCTGCAAGATTTTAGAATTTTCTTAAAAGGGTTATGCATATCTTTGGTTGGATCTTATCAGATATTTCATTTATTCCTAATGTGTGAAAATATAGTTTTTACATATTGATCTTGTATCTATCAACATTGTCAAGCCTTTTTCTTCTAATAATTTGAATGTAAATTCTTTTGGATTTTCTATGTAAATAATTGTATCATCTGTGATTTATAAAGGCTTTTCTCTTTTCAATCCTTATATCTTAAAGGAAATGTTTTTTATATATTTTTATTATTATAGAGTTTTGATCCCTTTATGAGGCAAAGAAATTTTCCTTCTATTCCTAGTTTGCGAGTTTTTACCACAAATGAGTATTGAAATTTAGCAAATGCTTTTTCTGTACTCACTGAGATGACCATATGAAGCTTCTGTTATATTTATGAAGTGAATTATCTCAATAGGTTTTTTTGTTTTGTTTGTTATAAGCCAAGCTTGCATTTCTGGGATAAATCCTATCTCATCAGGACATGTAATGCTTTTTCATATTTATTCTGTCAAAATCTTGTGATTGTTTTGAATCTACGTTTATGAATGAGAGTGAGTCTGTTTTCTTTTTCTATACAGTCTTTGTCCCATTTTAATTCAAAATCATGTTTACCTGCTTAATCATTTTGGATAATACTTCCTTCTTTTTTAATTAATCAGAAAAACTTTCTAAACATTTGCAATAATCTGTTCCTTGAAAGTTTAGTAGAGTTTTGCTCTCATATATATAGGCCTGGTCTTTAATGGGAAGACAGTAAGACATTGATGTTGATAGTGTTTGTATCACTTTGCGTGTCCACCAATAATGTGTCACATACCTGTTTCCCCACAGTCTTGCCAACAGAGTATATTGTCAATCTTTTGGCATTTTAGTTTAATTCTTTTTCAAGTTTTCTTGGTTGTCTTTCATTGTCTCCTTTTTGCACATTATTTCAAATCCACTTTTTATTTCATCAGATATTTTATACACCATCATTTTAAATTTGGTATTTAATCATTTTAGCATATGAAATCATCTGGCTCTAAGTCTCTCTGTGTGTTTGTGATGTTGACTCACAACCACTTGTTTCCTTGTGTGTGCAGTAAGTTCTGGTTATTGTTTCATGCCTGAGATACATCAGTGAACACAACGATCCAGTGGCCCCGCCCTTGTAGAATGTGGAACATACATCATCACATGGAGAGGCAAAGAGCAAATGGTCAACAAAACATGCAATGTTTTAGAAGTATGTTAGAAGTTGAAGAGTGCCATAGAAAAAAGGGAGGGGAGCCTAGAAAGGGGACTGCAGAAGCTGGGGTGAGAGCACAGGCAGGAGCTTTAACTAGGATGCCCAAAGTAACCTCACTGAGACCGTGGAATTCAGGAAAGTAAATGAAGGAGGACAGACCATATGGATATTTTGGAGAATAGTGCAGAGAGAGCAACCAGTGTTCTCAGCAAGAAAGCTGGTGTGGCTAGAGAGAAATGAAGATGGAGACAAGCACGAGAGCCAGAGGGCTAAGGGGTCTGGATCATGCAGCACCTGGTAGGCTGCTGGAAGGACTTCAGCTTTTACTCCAAGTGATTTGGGGAGTGATGAAAGCCATTGGAGGGGTATGCAGTGTCAGAATCTGACTTCTGTCACTCTCATATTGAGAATAGACTATAGTTAAGTAAGTGTGGAAGTAAGGAAACCATCTAGGAGATGACTGCAAGAATCTGGATGAGCACTGAGAGAGGCTAGAAGCAGGATAATGGTGATGAGGATGGAGAGAAGCTGATGGACTGGATATATTGGGAAGGAATAGTCCAGAGGATTTGCTGATGGCCAGCTGTGTGGGTGTGAGAGAGGGAGGGCACCATTATGGAAACAGGAAAATGTGCATATAGAGCACTGGGGTAAAGGGGATCAAAGGTTAGTTTTAGACATGTTAAGGCTGAAATGTCTATTATATATCCAAGTAGAGATGTTGGGTAGGCAACTGGGTATGCAAGTCTGGAGTTTGGTGAAAGGAGTCTGGGCTGGAAATAGAAATTTGGGACTCATGAACATATAGATGGTATCTAATTTCATAAGAATGAATGAGGTCATCAAGGCATAAATGAACCTCAGTTTGGGAAGTGGTCCAAGGTAGATCTCTGAGACACTCCACCGTTGAGATGACAGGCAGATGCAAGGAATTCAGCAAAGAGGGAGGAAAAGGGGTTATCACTGAGATATGTGAAAACCCAGGAGACTACAGTGTCCCAGAAGCTAAGTAAAGAAACAGTTTCAAAGGAGAGAGAGTGATTCACCATGACAAAGAATGCCAATCAGTCAGAAAAGGAAGATTGAGAAATAATCATTGGATTTTGTAATGTGGACATTTTTAAGTGACCATGAAGATAACATTATTTTTGATGGGTAGATTCTAAAACCTGATTAGAATGGGTTTAAGAAAAAAAAAATAAAGAAATTAGAGAGAGCAAGGATAGGCACCTTTTGATGTTTTACTCTAAAAGAGAAGAGAGAAAAAGGGCAGTGGCAAGAGGGAAATAATGCTATCAACAGAATTTATATTGATTTATATTTTATGCTGATGGAAGTGTTCTAGTTGAGATGGAACATTCAGTAATTCAGTAGAGAGGAGAGACTATTATTAGAACAAAGTCCCCCAGGAGGTGGAGAAGATAAAGCAAAGCAAGCACAGAAGTGCAGATTTCTGGAGGTCAGTAAAGGTGAAGGTGGGAGCCCGAGGAAGTTCCCAGGTTTCTCTTGCTGCTTCTTTTAAGTAACGAAAGGATTGATAACACCTTTGGACTTGGATATGCCCATGCTACTAAAAATGTCACTCAATCATCCTCACTATTACATCATGAGAAAATAATGCTCCTCTATTTGATCTTTGAGGAGTCTAAGCAGAGATTTGTGGCTCAATAAGGACTGCCAATAGTCATGGGTGAGCCAGACTGCCACATCCTCATGTCCTCAGCAGAAGGCTATGCAGTTTTCATTTATGCTCTCCAATCATCTACCCCTCAGTCCCAGATAGGTACTTTCTAAGTTTTAAGAGCAGTTCCACAGAGAAGAAATGACAGCCGGACAGTGAGTTTCCAAGTCCTGACCAAAATCTAAATTCCAATTGTGTTTCACAACTAAGTTATGAAAGCTTGGATAATGTCTTCAACTCACAATGGCTCATTTTCCACATGACTCCTACTCACATATTGCTATAAGACAGTATGTGTATATTGTATCACACAATACAAAGATCCTGTGTTTCATTATTTTCTCTGTTCTATACTGTCCCTATTCTGAATGCCAGAATGTAACAAATGAGCATATATTTTGGATAAACAGACACATCCAGGAAGTATTCTCTGCCAATTTGCTTATATTCAATTATCTTAAATATGTATACATTTTAAAAATCCATTCATCAATTTAAACTACTGGATGTCTTTCAAAGATACATGCTATAAGATTTCTAACAGATTGACTTCTCAAACATGATCTTTCATCTGTCAGCTATTTATTAAAGAGAGATCTTCTCTAGACTTTCTGGTCAGCAAGCACTTGATTATTTTTTTGTATTTTTACCAGTGTACAGATTTCTATCTGATGTGTGTGTATACAAAGGGAGAGGGAGGAAGAGAGAGTCAACAGGGAAAGAGAGAGAGAAAAGAGACAGAGGGATGTGGCGGGGAGAGAGAGAAAGTACTTATGTACTTGGGCTTCAATTAAACTGTAACACTTATGTCTTTAGTTTTGATCCTCACACATTGCAAACCTCACAATTATACATGTTCCAAAGCTTTGGTGTTCATTCAATAATATATTGTGCATACAAAATATATTAAACACATATTGCAACACAGTTGCAAGGTTTTCATCACAGAAATATGTAAGGACATTTCATTTTTTAAAAGTGCCTTTTGCTATAGGGTTTTTAAAAAATCATTTTGTAGTGAAAAATTAACTACTGGTTTCTTTGATGTGTTAGTTTGACTGAAAGAATATATTACTAGAGAATGCTTATTATTTTTGTAACCATATTTCATTTAAAATCTTTCCGGGAAAAAAAAATACTCATTTGTTTTTTTGTTTAGGTCTGGGCAAGGGATGATAAAAAGCCTTAGTGTCCAGGCAATCATGCTGAGAACAAAGGGCAGGTGTCATTTTTTATTGTGATTCGCCAGAGCTGAAATCAGGACTTTCTCCCTTTCTCAGAAGCTATTGTGGAATTTACAGTAATCCCCCTGACTGACTGCCCATCACACTGCTGAACAGCACAACAACAACAACAAAATAATATCTGGGGAGAAGGCCACAACATATATTAAAAATTCTCATTGTTTTTATTCTTCAACATTGAAAGATGATTTTTTTTAAGAGAAAAGAAAAAACTCACCCAGCTGTTACTGCTATTCATATTCCAACAGCCTCCAGATTGCTCGAGGCCACCTGGTTGACTCTTGCCTTGGAGTCGGTCCAGAAAAGCATTATTTACCCTTTAAAACAATGAAAAATGTGTGTGAGTAGAAAACTTGCTGCAGGGCTGAGATATTTCTGAGAACCTAATGTGTTGTATGAACTGACCATGGGGATAGCTTTCTGGCTTCAGCTTAGAAGAAATCTACAGAAACTTCTCTTCCCACTAACTATGTGACATGCTGTTAATCGCTCTTTACTGGAGCTGTTGCCAATCTTGGCTCAAGCCAAAGGGGCTACAAATTCTTAACCTGAGAGTTTCAGGCACTCTTCTCCTACCAGTACAGCAAGACCCTAGTTCAAGAAAGCAACTACAGTCCTCAGAATCATGCCAGGTATGAATCTCAGAGGATGCAGCAAGATAGAAGCCTCACCATGAACCAAAACATGAAGAAGAACCAAAGATAACTCTGGTGTTATTGCTGCAAGACAGATGTCCTTCCCATATTCTCTGCACTCCACTGTCAGTCTTGCTAAAGTAAATCCCATACAAGAAAAGCAGAAGTGGAAGGTAGTAGGGTGATAGTTATATTATCCTATTTCTGGAGCTGGCTACCTGGTTGTACACTTTATAATTAATCATTCTAAATATCTGTTTCATAAACCTTTCTGTGTGTTTCATATTACAACTTTTAAATTTAAAATAATAAATCACAGATAACATCGTGCTGAGTTACCCATGTGAGGCTGAGTAGAGTCAGGGACTTGGAAGCTGAAGAAATGGCACTGCAATAGATCCCCTATGATATCAACATATTATTTAAGAAGTGCATAAATAGGACTATAAGCTTCTTGGAAGCAAAAACACAATGCCTGGTGTATAGCAGCAAATATACATTTATGGAGAGAAGAAACGCAGGAACCAGTCACACAAGCCTCTTGTTCAGTCATGAAGATTAGCAGAACGTGGTCATGGTGAGTGGCTACAAGCCAGTGACTATGGGAGATTTGGGAACTTTAAGGAAAATAAAGGCTGGGTGGCAAAGTCAAAGGCTAGAGGGGTTTTTGTCTGCCTACGCTTGCTCAATGCTAGCTAAGATGCCAGCCGTGTGTGGGCTCATGTAGGAGATCATTCAGGGTGGAGGGAAAAATTGCAAGAAAGATGCAAAGAAGGCTGAGAGGTTTTGCAAAACTTCAGGAAGGAATCAGCCAAAGGAAGCTGTCCTTACCCAGAGGCAATTAGGCAAGGAGTAGGTACAAAGGAATGTAAAGGAGTTTATTTAAATAGCTTGTTTACTCATGTTGACATAAGACATCCTTTGATCATCTGCTTGCAGAACTACTCTCTACTGGGGTGAGGAGGGGGTTGGCAATGTTAATTACTAATGGTGTTTACTAGAGGCCTTTGTCATTTAATCTGCACTAAATAAATGTGGAGCATCTCCAGAAACCCTCTTAGGGATCTCTGAGCCATGGTGTCCCCTGGCTGCACACACACAGGCAAAATATCTATGTCTGCATAATTCTGTATCTGTCACTCAGATAGAAGGTGCCAGTCAGACTCGGCAGTTCACTGCCAAGCTCCATGTTTAAGTCACCTTCTCTAAATCTCTCAGCATGCGGATGGAATGGTAACCTACTTAGCAGAAGACTCCCCAGTGTCCCCCCATAAGGACACCAATTTAACTATCAAGACAGAAAAAAAAAAAAAAACTTTATAAGAACCAAAACTCAGGTGAGCCCTCATAGTACTTGGTTTTAACTACATATTAATGGAAAAGATACTGAAGAGATAGAAAAAACGATTTTGAATCTCCAATGCCACCGACTATTAAGCAAGAGGAAAGTAACCCTGCTCCCCAATGGTATTCTGGACTGCCTACATGCCTGGGGCTGTTCTTATCCAGTCTTTTTGTCAGTAACAAAGATGGGGTTTCCTGCAGCATCCTCTACCCATCCCACCCCACATCCAAACCACTAGAAGCCTTGTTTGCTCTACCTCCGGAAGACATCTGACTTTACTCATTTATTTCCATGGATACCATTCTAGTTCAAATTACTATCTCCTCTTCACCTTGCCAGTGCTTTCAGTCTCACCTTCTGTAATCTAGTCCCCATACAGCAACCTTACTAGATTATGAAACAAATCATGTCTTCCGTTTGCTTAAAATTCTCCTGTGATTTCCCATTGGTCTTAGAATAAAATCACTGGCTTATAAAATGTTGGGTTGTCTTGCTCCTGCCTACCTTTCCTCGCTCCCGGAGCATTATCCTCCTCTTCACTCACCATAATCCCATCACATGGGGTTAGGTGTGGTGGCTCATACCTGTAATCCCAGTAATCCCAGCACTTTGGGAGGCCAAGGCAGGTGCATCTCTTGAGGTCAGGAGACCAGCCTGGCCAACCTGGCAAAACTCTATCTCTACTAAAAACATAAAAATTAGCTGGGCATGGTAGTGGGCATCTGTAGTCCCAGCTATTTGGGAGGCTGAGGCAGGAGAATCGCTTGACTCTGGGAGGCAGAGGTTGTTGTTAGTGGAGATAATACCACTGCACTCCAGCCTGGGTAACAGAGCAAGACTCTGGCTCAAAGAAAAAATTATCCCATCACTTGGGACCCAAAAAGTCCAAGCTCATTTGCACGTTAGAGCCTCTGCACTTGCTCCTCCCCTGTTCATAGGCCATCTAAGTCCATGCATCTGCCCCCAGTCTCTGTGTAGCTGATTCTTCCTTTTCCTTTGATGTCACCTCTGCAGTGAGGCCTTCCTAAGTATCCTATCACCTCCAATTTCTTCTTTAACATTGCCTTGTGGGCCGGGTGCAGTGGCTCAAGCCTGTAATCCCAGCACTTTGGGAGGCTGAGGCGGGTGGATCATGAGGTCGACAGATCGAGACCATCCTGGTCAACATGGTGAAACCCCGCCTCTACTAAAAATACAAAAAAAATTAGCTGGGCATGGTGGTGCGTGCCTGTAATCCCAGCTACTCAGGAGGCTGAGGCAGGAGAATTGCCTGAACCCAGGAGGCGGAAGTTGCGGTGAGCCGAGATCGCGCCATTGCACTCCAGCCTGGGTAACAAGAGCGAAACTCCGTCTCAAAAACAAAAACAACAACAAAAAAAACATTGCCTTGTGATATGGTCCTCACAGTATACATCACCATCTGAAATAACAGTGCCTTTGATTGTTGACTTCCATTTCTCTCCTCCAGATTACAGTTTCCACATGGTCAGGGACCCCTTCTGCCTTGATTAACCCTATTCCTGGGGCCTAGAACAAACCCTTCATGGACTGCATCCTGATAATGCAATTAATGAATGAGCAAATCTTCTTGGCACACATTCTTCGCCCCTGAAAACAACATGGATGATAACTGCAGACTGCAAAACAGCTCACTGGCAATTGCTCCCAGTTCACTCAAACCCTGCAAAGACTGATGGCTTGTCATGAAGGGATAAGGTAATGTGATTCACTTTTGAGCATCAGTTACTAAGAGGACATCAGAGTGGCTAAGCACTCCTTGATACCATAGGAGTGTTATCAACTTGCCTATGACCACTGCAGTGTGAGTCAACCAGAGATAATGGGTGGGTAATAGTTTGCTTCTCTCAATACCTATCAAGAATCTAAACAGGAGGGAAAAGGACCAATTTCCATTTTGGTTTAATAGTTTTAGAAAGTACATACATGCTATCACGGTCAAAGTTGTGCTCCGAGTTTTCTTCTGAGGGTTAATTTGGATAAAAACTATTAATCAGGGATAGTTCAAGTTTGAGTAAATCAATTCAGTTCATCCCAGTTTTCACCTCATGGCCCAAATCCTTTCAAGTCCTTGACCCCTGTGCTCTGTCTTTTCTCTCCAGAGTTTCTACTTGTCTTCTCCTACGCAGTAACAACAGGTCAGGTGCAGGTGCACTTAAGCTCATTACAAGTTCATTGAAAAGCTTGTCAGGAGTCTCAAGGCTTTCTATTGTAACACTCAGAGTTGAGTTTTCTGCAGTGTGAACTTTAAACTGTAGAGAGCACATTGCCCTTTTGATGCCAACAAAATTGTGCATCTGGAGAAAACCTAATTTACTAATTTACATCCATTATACACATACTATATAGCTTGTGTTGTTGCCTTGGATAAGAATGGACATGCTATTTTATTAAGAGTTCATTGAATATGTATTCTCATATGATAACATGAGAAAGCTCATGGCACACTTTAAAGGCAATACAAATGTAAGCTCTTTTCAAAAATTGATGAAGAACATAACATGTATGTATTTAATGACTTGATCAGATATATCAAAACTATTTACTGATACTATTATGATAAAAGTCTCTTTTTAAATTAAATTTGGATCTATACATTTATTGGATCTATTTAAGTAGAATCAAGAGAAAGAGAAAATAACATAGAAATTTAAAAGCCCCACCAAATGTTTAGATATTCAGTAGTATGGAAATAAAGAATGAGGGCCAAGATTCCTATAACAAAAAAGTTATCTTTTCCACTTCTAATCAAATAGCTTGAGTGTTTATTAGGTGCTCATCAAATAATATTTTAGCAATGGAGCCTATTAATGTAACACATCACTATCTTTAGGACACTTAGAGTCTTATAATTCAAGTAATCCTCTAGCTACTGCTAGCAACCAGCGTATAAATACAGTATCAAGTGTTTTTTTAAACAGAAAGTATTTTAAAGAGAAAATAGGCAAGGCACAGTGGCTTGTGCCTGTAATCACAGAACTTTGAGATGCCAAGGTGGGCAGATCAACTAGGTTGGTAGTTCAAGACCAGCATGGCCAACACGGTGAAACCCCGTCTCTACTAAAAATATAAAAATTAGTCAGGCATGGTGGCATGTGCCTGTAATCCCAGCTACTCAGGAGGCTGAGGCAGGAGAATCACTTGAACCTGGGAGGCAAAGGTAAGCCAAGATCGCACCACTGCATTCCCACCTGAGCAACAAAGTAAGACTCTGTCTCAAAAACAAAAAAAGAGAGAGAGAGAGAAAATAATAAAAACCAATAAAATGACTAAATTGTGGCCTACTTTATAATAAATAGTTAGCATCCTTTCCCACCACCATCTTATCCAACAATATAGCCTAACCAACATATCAGAATTTTGATGTTTCCTTAAATAAGAGAAAAAATATATAACCTAACCAACATATCAGAATTTCGATGTTTTCTTAAATAAGATAATTTTGATGTTTCCTTAAATAAAAGATGTTTCCTTAAAAAACAGTCCCCCTCCCCACAGTAAGAGGCACCGTCAGAATAGGGAGTTTCCACTGAACACTTTTTAAAGTCTCTCATTTAGAAAATGAAACCAACATAACTTAAAGATACACTTTAGTGATAGTGGAAAGGTTAAATACATAAAAGAAGCCATTCGCTGTCAAAAGAATATGTTCCTTTAAATTGTGAAAACCCTTACATTCTTCTCCAAGATACTCAAGTGCACCCCTAATGAACTCAAACAACCCGTGTCCCCCCTAGGAATCTTAGCATAATAATGGCAGACAATATGGTGCTTATTAGCACTGTCCCAACATTAACATGTTATTTTACTAGGTATTCTTAATTCTGATATTAGAATTAAGATGGAGAGTACTTAGACTGTTTGAAAATTACTTAATGGTTCTAAGATTTTTTTCTCTAATGTATTTGTCAATATTAAATAACTAATGAGTTTTTGTCTGAGCTTTTGTACTCAAGTATGGGAATCTGACCATCTATATTAATGCAATTATTCTAACAAAGTCTATAAATGGTAGAGCGTCCTCTCAAATTAGGATGTTTTGTCCCATGGAAGGCAAGTGAAATATACCTTAAATGAACACACAGCTTAAGAACATGATTCAGTTTTCTAATCTAAGTTTGTAATGCCTCCTATCCAAGAAAATTGGATATGTGTGTGCATGCACATATGTATACATATATGTAGCAGCTGGCATACCTAATACATATATTATGTCCCAATAACAAAGATTTAAATGTAATACACATTCCAAAATCATATTAATAATGTCACTGTAATGTTTTCCTAAAACAACTGTACAAACTTTGAGGTAATTAATAATTTAACCAAGGATGCTTATTTTATTAGCCAGTTATACCTCCTGTGTTCAGTCTGGTGGATTTTGGCTCTTTCTTCCTCTTGCTGCTGTCGCTTAAGTTCCAGTAATTCACTCTAGGAACAATAAAGGTTTTTAAATATGGTTTTCAATTAACATGGTTGTACAGAAGACACCCAAATCAATTACATATTTAACCTCAGTGGGTACATTTCATTTTTGAAACTTTTACTTCAGTACTATTTGGATGTGAAATTATTTTCTTATATAAGCAGGTAGCAAAATAAGTGTGGCTTAGTCAATTAGAATAGCTCTGTGAGTGTAAAATTGTTAGATTAAAAGCCAATGTACATGGTCAAGATACTAGACCAATAGGTACAACACAAACAGAGAAAAATACAATGTAAGGCAAACTCATCTATGTCTTACAGAGAAAAACAAATCAAATTAGTTCCTTCAGGAATATCACACAATACTATTTCTTGGTATTTCTCTAGCATTTCTTTCTTAATAAATTCATAACAACATACAAATAAATATTGGACTCAATTTTTTAGTGTAATTCTGTTAGTTAAACATTCTCCTTCCTGGATAATAAGCACTCACCTATTATTGATTAGTTACTTCTAATACCACCAAAACTTTGGGATCTCTAGGGGAGATACTTTGGTTCATATAAATCACATTATTATAACTAAATCTTTAGCTTCCAACAGTCTGCTTATCTTCTTGGAAGAGGCAACTTAACTTCCAGACCCAGTTACTATGTTTTCAGTATTATACCAAAGAACCAATCCCAGGATTTCTCTGATACCCAACTGTCTTCCCTAAAGCATAATAAATGTTAATCCCATTTCAAAGACAGAAAAATGCAAAGAGAGGAAAATCATTAGGCCCAAGTTGTATATCATGCCTGAGTCAGAGAGATTTTCTGGTAGAGAACATACTGTCATGTCTTAATCAAACATACTAATAAAAGGTTGCTATTGTTGTTTTAACTCCCAATCTTCCTTGAAATAAACTCAAAGTTCAGATTGACATTTTACTTTGTTCAAAGATCCTGTAATATTCCACAGTCCCCCAAAATCAAAAGACTCGTTTCTTATACTGTGATATTCCAAATAAATTGCTCATCAATCCCTAAAGCACATTACTTAACCCTAATTCCTATGTAACACCAACAAGGGGAAATCATTGAATAATATTTGAGTTTTTGAAATCCATGAATAATATTTGTCCACTCAAGCATTTATTATGCACCTAGATGCCAATCTTTATCCTCAAGTCTCACTTTTGCACAATAGGATAGTTTTTTTAATAGTCTACCAAGTATTAGTATTCCTTATTAGTACTACTACGGCTTATACCAATGTGAAGGAAGCCCCTGTCCTCTCACTCATCTCCACAGTCATTTCAGTTCCTACATGTGGTTTCATCTGCAATTATCTTCTTCTTAATAGTATGCATAGCCGTTTCTTAATTTTTTTAAAACAGCATCATCTTTTGACTACCTATAATGGAAAAAAATTGATGTCTCTATTACTATCTCCACCCTCATCCCAACTTCCTCTCATAGTACACCCTCATCCTTATTCTTTTACAATTTTTTCTTTTTTAACATTCAGTATGGTGGGAGAGGGATCAAGAAATCTTATAGCTCCGAATTCAAGTTCCTAATTAATCCTCCTGTTTTCAGCCCTGGGCTTCAAAGGTACCAGGTGCCTCTAATTCCTAAACTTAACCAACGTGTGTCTTCCTGCTTCTTGCAAATGAATTCTGGCTTTTCTTCCACTAAGTCAATTACCATTGACCATCTAGTTCCAGATAAAATTTTGGCTTATATCTTTACTTCAGTCTACTAGTCTGTTCTTTTGTTCTTGCTGGCTTATGGCTTTTAAAAATAATTCATGTATGGTTAGTGGTATATATACCATACGTACCAGTAACCATATAGGAATTTTTTGTAAAAAAGAGAGTGATAAAACATAAGCAAATGAAATGCTTTTTATGTGCAATGTTTAACCAGAAAACCTTAATATTTTCAAATAAAAGTTTTACCAGAATTTTATTATTTGATTCACACAAAAATTGCAAAGGTAGGCAGGCAAATGAAGTATTATGTGATAAATTAATGAGCAACATCATACTTACCCTACTGATGAGGGAATGGGATCAGAGACACAATTTTAGTAACTTGTCAAGAGCTAAATAGCTTATTAGAAGCAAAATAAATACCAGGGATTACATTTTCCTGTATCTAATAATCCTCTGCAGGATGTATTCAAAATAAATGATAGGAATTAAGGATATATTCTTGGTGGTTCATCATACTTAAGTACAAACAGTCATTTCCAGAACCATAGGACCCATTCACATTCAAAACTTTTAGCAGAATATGTATAACCTAAGCACAAATCTAAATCCTTCTGGCCAAGGATGCTGATTATTTTCACATTCATTAACCTTATTTCTCCAAGGAGCAACTTCTGGTATCTAGTCCATTATTCATTTAGAGTTAATGGACAATGGACCAGATACCATAGATAGGCTAATTGCCTATGGTTCATCATACTTAAGTATAAACAGTCATTTTGAGTATAAAGTATTTAAGTAAAAAAGTATATATATATGTTTTCCAGCTTAAAAGCATCTTATTAAGCATATTTAGATGCTGCTTCCTACCTTTTAAGAATAAAAAATGCCTTTTAATAAAAAAATCTATCCTAAACTAATTTTCCTTTGTGTGAGGAAATATGAATGAAATGTACATTCATATTTAAAAACAAAGTATTGTACTGCCAAAACTTTAAATATCTCAAGAGCATACCACATTTTAAACACATTATGTTCACACAGCTATTTCAATATTTCTGGGAATGGTGGGCAATTAGCCTATCTATGGTATCTGGTCCATTGTCCAGATACTCTGGACAACTCTGTTTATACTTAAGTATGATGAACTGTTTATACTTAAGTTGACTGTATAAACCGTCAATTTAAGTTGACTGTTTATGCTTAAGTATGATGAACTGTTTATACCAGAGTTGACTGGACAACTCTGACAATGTCCAGATACTCTGGACTACTTTGCCTATGGTTCATCATACTTAAGTATAAACAGTCATTTCCAGAACCATAGGACCCATTCACATTCAAAAGTTTTAGCAGAATATATGTAGCCTAAGCACAAATCTAAATCCTTCTGGCCAAGGATGCTGATTATTTTCACATTCATTAACCTTATTTCTCCAAGGAGCAACTTCTGGTATCTGGTCCATTGTCCATTATTCATTAAGACAATGGACTCTGAACAAACTAAACTCTCATTAGTTCTGAAGTATGACACAAAGACAAAAAAAAGGTATGAAGTACATATATATGCATATTATGACATGTTACTTTAAGATGCTTTTTTTAGACTTGGCAAAATGATCATGAAACTTGTTTGAGGAAAAAAAATGCAATCATGGCCATAAAAGAATCCTGAAAAAGGAAACAAAAAATGAGAAAGAACCTTCATCACACATTAAAAGATGCCACATGAGAACACATGGGTAATGGGGAGCAACACACACTGGGGCCTGTTGGAGTGGAGGATGTAGGGAGAGGGAGAGCTAATGGAATGCTGGGTTTAATACCTAGGTATTGGGTTGATCTGTGCAGCAAACCACCATGGCACATGTTTACCCATGTAACAAACCTGCACATCCTGCACCTGTATTCCCGAACTTAAAAGCTGAAGGCAAAAAACATATAATAAACTATAGTAATTAAAACAACTTGAGCCTAGGAAGAGACATGATACATATGGAAATGTAGTTTATCACAAAGTTGTTGTGCTAAACCAAGGCAGGAGAGAGTTCCATGAATGATGATAGACAAGCCGACTACTGCAAGAAAGATCAAAACTAGTTCCTAAATTTGATTAAATAAATCTTACAGAAATTTAAGATTTGCACCTAGAAGATACGAATAGAAGTTTTCAAAGGCAGCACAGGTGAATTTATTTATAAACTTGGGAGTAAGGGAGATCCAGAAATTATAAAAAGATTGATAAATTTGGCTACATGAAAATTCAAACTGCATTTGGGGAAAAAAAATACCAAAAAATTTAAAAATGAACTGTTAATGAACATTCAGGATATGCATAGGCTAATTCAATTTTCTTTTATTCATTCATTAAATATTTGAGTATCTCTTATGAGGCAGGCTTGGATCTACATGATAGGCTACAGTAGTGAATAAGATAGACGAGATCCTTGCTCGTTTAGAGTTTATATTCTACAGAAACTGCAACCCATAAACAAGTGAGAAAAATATCCAACCATAATCCCATACAGAGGATTCAAACACACTGATGTGAGATTCAGTGGCTCAGTGACTATTTTAGGTTGAGACTCAGGAAATGTCCCAGAAAGTGGGTAAGGACCTTCATATGAATCAATAAGGAAAAAACAACCAAACAGAAAAAGGGCAAAGGGATAAGAACAGGCAGTTTGCAGATAAAAACTACAGGTTGCCTGTCAGTTCAAAATGGTCATAATCTTCACTCAAAATCAAAGAAATATCAAAATAATGAGATAAAATGTTTCTATTGTACTGACAAAAATCATAGAAGTTTGACCAAAAAAGAAACCTCTGGTATAGTATCTAAATTAGTGAAAACTAATGTAGTTTTTGGAGGTCAATTCAGCAATAAGCATCAAAATGTAAGACATATACATCCCTTGCAGAAGTGTTCAAATATGTATGTATACGGATATTCACAGTTATATTATTGAAACTTTAAAAGTTCAGGGAAGAATATTAATGCCCATCAACAAAAACTTGTGCAGTAAGTGAGACTATCAGCACACTGAAATACAATGAGACAGTTACAAAGAATAAGGTGGATCTTTTGTAAGGTTGAACAGGAGCCTTATGGAGAGATCTCTAAGATACACTAAGTGATAGATAGAAAACAGGTTCAGAGCCATTTTCTTGGGACGCTTCTATATAAATAGAAAATATATGCATAGGTCCATTTCAACTTTTATAGGCTGGTATGTATCTAAAACATTTAATGAAAAATGACACAAGAAAATGCTAACTGTAATTAACACTGGGTAGCAGCACT